GATCTTGGACAGTGGGTCTTATAGTCATTTGTCTCTCACCACTGATTTAGAAATCATGTAGGATTAGTAGTTTGTCACTTACTGAGAATTTGGTAGTGACTGATTATTTACCAAAAGAAGCCGATAGGTGAATGGCCATCGAGATATGACAAAAACATATGAGCCGAGCCACGACAAAACCAACATAATGGGCTTGCGACCAGCATGGATCCAGACCAGCCTGCACATCCTCACAGTCTGATCAGGATCCATGCTGTTTGCTATCAGTTTCTCTACTTGTTATAGTGTTTGTAAGCGAACAGCATAGATCCTGATCAGACTGCGCGGATGTGCAGCTGGTCTGGATCCATGCTGGTCGCAAACCCATTATGTTGGTTTTGTCATGACGCGGCTCATATGTTACACTAGGCGTAAAAATCCACAACAAAGATAGCATGTGAAATATAAATTAACCAAATAAAGAAAGCCATTGATTTTTTAATAATTAATTTGCATTGCACATTTAAAGAATAGGGTGATCATTTTTCTTATCATTATAATAAAAGGCAATTCCTATCATAACTTCGTGCATTATTGATCTATAACAAGAAGCAAAATAAACAAACAGGTGACAAGCTGGTATCAAGGGAAATCATTGTCTGTCAAAATAAATCAATAGATTAGATGGGCAAAGATTTCAAAAACTAAACAATATAATGATCAATAATAAGGGTAATGACATCTAAATACATATGGAACATAAAAAGTCGAGACATTGTATATTGCGGAATCAGGATTTAATCAACGATTACAACAAAAACACTTATTCTAAAAATTGTAAAAAGATAGATTAACACTTTGCCACAGGAATGTCTACGTTTTTATTTTAATTTGTGATTATTTCTTTATATATTCACAGTTTACTTTCATTGTCAATATGAATGTTTAATAGGGAGTATTTTATACTGTACAATATATATATGATATGCTCAGCATTTAATTTGTAACACTCAATACATATATGTACCAAATATGCTCATATAAACAAAACAGTTATACAACAAAATGTTTTATTACTATTATTCAGCCTATTTTCAAAATACTTCTTAACTTCCAACTTTTGATACTTCCAATCAAGGTCTTTCAAAATTCTATTTGAAAGACCCTATTCTAATGGAAACTTTGTTTTATATTTATGTGTCAAGGGTCTTTTAAACACAATATATTAAAACGTAACCTGCTGGCAGAAATAAATATATCCACTTGTTGTGTCTTATCATAGTCTGCATTGTTCGCTATTTAGTCAGAACGTATTTTGATTTATTTCCCCTTAAAAGGACGGAATGGTTTTGTCCACATTGAATGATAGATTAGTTCATTTAATATACATCTACTTAGCATGGCAAGTTTAATGTTTTCTGTCAAGCAATCAGGTAACACTGTTGACAAGGCCAATTCAACTAACCCTTACCGGGCTGAAACCAGAATGGCTAAGCCTTTCTCACCAGTATAAAGCTAGGCCAGCCTGAACTTATGTGCTGTCTAACCAGGCTCTTTATGGTTGGCTAACTCACTTTAACATTTTGATATCCCTATATTTGACAATGGACAGTCCCAAATAATTGGAATCTAGGCAAGACAATTTTAGAAATTTCACAGGTTCGTGTTATAAAAACAAACTCATCTCATTATATTAACAGTTAATGATCATATTTGCAATGGTTCAGTATCAGTTGGAAAATTACTGATAATTACATAAATATATAGAGTATTCAACAATGAACTGTTCAATACAGGAATATGAAGGTGTGAGGACAAGCTCAGAGCCAGAGAAATCATATTGCATAAGACGCCAGGCAAATCTTATATGACTGCTTAAGCTGTTTATGAGTCCAAATATATCTTGTACTGTTCAGAACAATGTTACTTATTTACTTTATATCCAAACTATTATTGAGGACAGCTAAATTATGACTCAATAGGATCTTGTAATAGATCTATTGTCTGATAACAAATATCAATCAGAGGCCATACAGATATGATTCAAATACTTCTGTTGTTAAGAGCTTTTTCATTGATGTTGCACAGATAAAGCACATGCAATTATCCAAAAATTGGATAAATATATATTGAATGATGGATTTTTAATGGACAGTCACATGATAAAAGCACAATCATCCAATACAGGATGTATAAATAGAATATTACAGCATCCAATATGGAATTATACTGAAGTCACAATGTTAAATTCAAATGTAACAATTGGATGTAAATAATAGGTATCAAAATTAAATAATCTCACAAATATATCACCAAATTTCTCAAGTTGTCAAATACATACAGACTAATGGAATCAAGCTCTGTTCTTCATCAGTTAATTTAACAGTTAAAGATTGGTAACTCTGTCCATCTTCTAATATGAGTTGTCTAACTTGACTTATCAACTGATCACATTGTATATCTCCGATTTTCAGCTTCATTTCATCATAAAGGATTTTCTTGGTAAACTGTTTGTTGAATTTGAACACAGATAGGGCTTGAATCATGGTTGTGTTGATATTGTCATTTTGGAGTTCTTGTTCTTCAGTTTCCCATCTACATTGTTTACGCTCCATATCATTGTTGTTGTTGGAATCATTCCTACATTCTGGCCATAAAGGATAAATAATTTTGTGTGTTATTTGTGGCCACAACATATTGACTTACATTTATATTATTTTCCTATTATTATCATAATAGAAGTTGGTCCTTGTAGTTGTAATTTAAATATGCATTCTTTAAAGTAAATATGTTAAATTTAAAATATGGGAATAACATCATCCCAATGTAAATTTTCATTTCTCAAACCTGTAAATAAAGGCTATCCAAGGGAGAGACAAAACATGGTCTTTATAGATGAGTGGTCCTTATATGGAGGCTACTTCATTTCCTTTCACCAATTAAGGGTTTTCAATAAATTAGCCTTTATTTACAGGGTAATCTTTATTCAGAGGTGGTCATTAACACAGGTTTGACTGTATCCTCAAATTTATAATTCTGAAAATGGAAAGTGGGAAAGTCAACTTAATAATCAGCAGGTAAAGGGTTTAACTATATACGTTCATGGACTTACCTTTTTCTTTTACTGTGTATGTCTGAGAATTGATTCTATGTTTGTGCTTAACATCATGAAAATCAAACACTTCATCGTCTAAATGGTCTGTATTTCTAGGGCTATATTCTTTTCCATGATCCTGCAAAAAAACAAAATAATAACTTTTCTTTTTATATTATCAAAACCTTACAAAAAAACCAATCAAAATTAACTAGATGTTTCTTTCCTCAAGAAGAGTTGTTGACTCGTTCAACAAATCTTAAATGGACTCAACTGAGGTGTTTTGATATGACATGACTATAATATTTTTTTTAACAATTTTCAATGATATTGATGTCTGTGCTATATTAAGTGCTCCAGTTGATCTATGTTAAGGTATTCAATTTTGTGGCCTTTGAACCTCAGTGTAGTTACTTTAAGTAATCTAACTTTGGAAAAACACATACCATGAGATTTATAGCAAAAATACACAAAACCAGATACTTAAAGACAAGTACAAAGTACCCAGGGCCATTCATCAGGACCCACATCAAACGGAATACAGATATATAATACAATATGTCACATTACTAAAGCAGGTTATACATAAATTATATACCCATAAGCAAAATGTAACTTTGTGATGTTAATTAAAGAAAACTGGTATTAAACATGCATGATGCCACGTTCAATGCCCTCGTTTGAAAAGATATCAGGTTCAGTGACCTTATTAAAAAAAAAGAACGAAAAAGAACAAAAAACAAGAGGGCCATGATGGCCCTGAGGTCGCTCACCTATATATAGCCCCCCTCCCCCCCCAACCCATAAGAAGATGTTTCATGCTAAACATCTAAGCTCTAGCTCATTGGGCTTTTTAAAAGAAGATTTTTTTAAGTTTTTGCTATACACATATAAGGAAAATCAATGACCCCCGGGGCAGGGCAAATTTTGACTCCAGGGCTTTTATTTGAACAAACTTGGTAGACACCTATTAGAACATGTTTGATGCTAAATATCTTAGCTCTAGCTCTTTGAGTTCTTTAAAAGAAGATTTTTTAAGTTTTTACTATATGCATATAGGGAAAATCAATGACACCCTGGGGCAGGGCCAATTTTGACCCCCAGGGCTTTTATTTGAACAAACTTTGTAGATACTCACAAGAAGATGTTTCATGCTTAATATCTAAACTCTAGCTATTTGGGTTTTTTCAAAGAAGATTTTTTAAGTTTTTGCTATACACATATAAGGAAAATCAATGACCCCCAGGGCGGGGCCAATTTTGACCCCAGGGCTTTTATTTGAACAAACTTGGTAGACACCTATTAGAACATGTTTGATGCTAAATATCTTAGCTCTAGCTCTTTGAGTTCTTTAAAAGAAGATTTTTAAAGTTTTTACTATATGCATATAGGGAAAATCAATGACCCCCTGGGGCGGGGCCAATTTTGACCCCAGGGCTTTTATTTGAACAAACTTGGTAGACACTCATTAGAACATGTTTCATGCTAAATATCTTAGCTCTAGCTCTTACGGTTTTTTAAAAGAAGATATTTAAAGTTTTTTCTTTCAGTTGCCATGGCAACCAGAGTTCTGCATGGAATTAAATTCTTTGAACAATTTTTAAAGGTGACCACCAAAGGAACATTCCTGTGAAGTTTGGATGAAATTGGCCTAGTGGTTTATGAGGAGATGTCATTTAAAGTAAAAGTTTAGGGACGACGGACGAAAAGCGATCACAAAAGCTCACCCTGTCACTTTGTGACAGGTGAGCTAAAAAACTAATTAAATTCTAGATCATTAAAGCTGCTGATATTACGTTCAAGTTAGTTACAGATCAGGTTAATTACAGAAAAATGTTAAATTCCGTACATGTTTATAGTGTCCTCATTTTCACTTTTGTTATTAAATTTGCTAATAAATTGTCTGCGTGATATGTGATTGATACAGCTAATTTGCGTTTTTATTACCTACCATTTTCAATGAGGAATCTGCTTCACTAATTGACAGGGAAAACCTCTGTTTTCTCACAGTCTGTGCCAGTATTGGTGATGCCTGTGACAGTCTTTTTACAACAGAGTCCTTTATGGCGTAAGTTTTTGTATTGATTGGTTTTTTCTACAATGGAAATTCATAGAAGTAAAATTAATACAAAGATGTAAGATAAGACTGAAAAAAAAAATCTTACAAAATTTAATAACAATTGGTTATTAATATTTATATTAATTCAAGAAATGACATTAAAATTGTGTTCACCTGTCGAATCAACAAAAAACAAAACAAAACAAATCTCTTCAGGCAAAAAATAAAAATGTTTCTGGTTCTCATACCAGTCAGCCAACGCATGAAATTTTTTTCCTTTCAAATTTTTTATAAAAATCTTACCCTGATATATCTTATGACATATAAAATAATATATAAAAATACTAAAATTATCAATTATCTAAAAAAAATTCCCACTTACAGACTCTTTTATTTATTTTCATAGACCAGATACAAAATACTTCAACTTGTTCATTTTTTAAATTGGACAAAACCATTGGCACATTTAATAATATGCACTGACTGAATAGCAAACAGTGTAGACCATGATCAGATGGCATAGATGTGCCAGTCAACCTCTATAACAGACAAATGAGTAAAATCTGTGACAGTATATAGGCTTACGGTTAGATTGAGTTCCTTTTCATCCTCTACTTTGTTGTTAGACTTTTCAACTGCTTTAGTTCCAACTGCATCATCACTGACACTTCTAATGTTTCTTCTACTTATACTGGGATTGACATAGGCAAGTTTTTCTGCACCATTTATATTTGCTTCACCATCATGTTTTTCAGTTATTCTGTCTCTGTCTATTCTAAAACAATTTTCATCACCTCTGCTATAATGCTGTTCAGACCCGCCTTCAACATTTGATTTACAAATTCTGTTTTTATCTGTTGGTACATTCTTATTTCTGATATTAACATCATCTGAGCCTTTGTATTTATCTTGATGTTGTTTACCAAACATCACTTCACCATTTCCAACTGATTCCCTATTCAATCTGTTCACACTAGATGACCTAGATTTTGAACACAAATTTAACCTTGACCTTTCAGTGACTAAGCTATTTGACCTTATCCTTGAACTCTGACCTTTACGTCTGTTTCTGGATTTCAAATATAACACAATATCTCGCAAGGACTCTAACCGAAGCAGCTGTGAAGCTGAGAGTCTATGTTCTGGGGTAGAGACCAACAACTTTGAAATCAAATCTTTTATAATTCCTTGAAATTGGCTGAAATAATAAAAGAAGAGCTTTCAGAAGGGAAACTTTATGCTTAACTATCTTGGTAAAATTACATCATAATTAAAGGGGCTCCACTGCAGGTTTTATGACGTAAATAATTAAGTTGAGATTAATGCTCCATTTAATGAAGTTCTCGACCAGTAACTTGGGTGCAAAATTTCAGATTATATATGCTCACTTCATTTTTCCAGAATAATTATTCTTAATGTGAAAACATGACCCATAGTTAAAAAGGGTTTCAATGTTTTTTAGTAAAAAGAATAACATAAAAATATGATTTTCAATTTATTTCTGAGCATATTTCTTGATTTTCTTATACATATACATGTATTTCTGTTTTAAGTGCCCCAGCAGATATATGTAAAAAAATGAAATTTTATATTTTTGGCTTATGAACCTCAGTGGAGTTCCTTTAAGGAAAACTATTGCTGCCTGTTACTGTAGGTCAGTATTCTTGACTATTCTCAGTGCTCGATAGTTAAACAAGTGTCTTGATAATGTATTAGTGTTCACAACTGGGAAGATTTCATTCAAAAGCTTTGACAGAGTTATGAGTTTTTGAGACCACTTAGTTACGATTTTAAGTACATGTGTGTAATTTTAAGTGTGAACTTAATCTTGCATACAAAACTTTATCAAATAATTTTCTGAGATTACAAGTGACAAAGGGCTATAATTCAGTCAAATTCTGTGTCAAGAGTTCTCAGCCTTGGATGGTGACCTCCAACTATGATCTCAAGAAATGTGTGAAGTTCAAGTGAACAATCTTCAAAGAATGAAGAAAAAATAAAATAGAGTTAAAAAATGTTTTGAATGGTTAACTTCTCAAAGATAAAAGTAAATACCTAAATTATGCAATGATAAAGAAAGAGTAACAGATTTTAAGTTAAAAGATACAAATAACAATATTTATCACATAAACAGCAGCGCAGGGGTGTAATTAAGCCATTTAATAAATTTAAAGCAATATTACACTAGTGTATTAACACTTTTACGTGACGTCATTTGCGTAGCTAATGTTAGCATTACACTATAGCCGCGTCAATGAAAAATGACTCTTTTTAACTGTGAATCATTTTTATTTCGGATATGTGATAAATAGAATATTATATTTGAGTAGATTCAATACTACATTAATTGAACTAGTTGAATAAAACAATATTATCCTCGCATAATATGATTTTATTCAACTCGTTCAATAAATGTAGTATTAAATCCACACTCATTAAATATCCTCAGTATAAATCACGGCTAGGAATAAAGTTACAGACTCGAAGAAATTGGGGCTGCAGACAATATTATAAAAGCAGTATCATATCCACTGAGTAACCTAGTGTTGTACTTTAATAACCTTGGAATTGGGTCATATTGAGCCTTGATGATATTCTTGCAGAGGTCATCAAAATTTGTGGCATGAAATGGTACACGCAGCATGGACATCTGGTACAGGAGACATCCAGCTGCCCACATGTCACTACAACTGTTATATCTAGACACAGCTCAGGAAAAATTATGTTATACTAGTAGATTATATCTGGACTCTGATCAGGAAAAAATTATGTTATACTAGTAAATAGAAATAATAGCTGTCAGCAGGACATCATACTCGACATTTCTCAGTGCTTGACAGTAAAACAATAGCCTGGATAATGAAGAAATTAACAAAAAGTTTTCATTCTAAAAAATACATGACACAGTAATGAATCTTGAAAACTGACCATAGATTTATCTAATTTGACAAAGGGCCAGAAGTCTGTCAAAATCCATGCTCGAAATATGGGCCTTGGATAGTGACCTCATACAATGATCTTAAATTAGTATGAGAAGTGAGGTATTCTATTGCAGATAGACTACTTTTAACAGGTGACAGGTTGAAGCAGACAACAACCTCTGGCCCCATGTTCAATGACGGCCTTGTGTTCACTGAGAAAAATTCAGGATCAAATGATCTAGATTTTATTTTCTTTTCTTTATAAAACTAAAAATGATTGCTAGAATAAAATGGTACATAAACAAAATGTAAAAAATTACTGATTTGCAAAGAAATAAATCTATTTTGGAATAAAACTGATGAGTAACAAAACAAATACAAATCAATCAGATCAAAACAAAGATCAATTTAAGGATCAACATTAATATTTGGATCAACTTTAAAGTGCCATATCTTGTAAATAACAATGAATATATTCTAAAATTTCATAAACATGCTATTTAATGTCAAATTTTAGTTCATGAAAATACTTGAGCTTTTAAATTTGTTCCTGATCCTTTAAGCCAGTGTAAGTAGGATAGCCCCTCTATTCTTTGAAAAATCAAGCTAAAAAACAAAACTTTTGACAATGTCTTTAAAATAAACAGATAAAATGGTGGCCTATATAATGTTTGAGTTGAAGGATGCAAGATTGATTTTTCAATTATTATACATCAAATTTAAAACTTGACAGCAATAACAAGGCCTCAGTTTCTCTCTTATATATAAATGCTCAGTAATTATAGTATGTCACACTATATTCCCATCCTACCTATAGGGAATCATCAAAGCAGAAATCCATTAACATAGCATCTCAGATATGGTATTTTAATGATACGTAATTATTTCATAAAAGCAACGTAATTTTTTCATAAATGCAATGTTTGACATTACAGCACTTAGTCAACTACAAATAGACTTGTCTGAACAGAATTTCAAAATAAAATATCATACACATACAGTATTTCAGTTTTAAGCTTCTTAATTTATCTTCTCTGTCAATATTCTTAGCTTAAATTAATTTTTCTGATTTTTTTTTTAAATTGAAATCATCCATATTCTTCTTTTTGGACAAGTAAGTTGAAAGTTAGTCACCCCAAAAAAGAGATTTAAAGGTAGGAATTTCTTTTACCCAGTACTGAAATATATCTTTATCTATTGTATAATATATTCATTCTTGGGCCGTAGTGGCCTCATAAAAATTAATATTAAATTTGTTTGTCAATAAGTAAAAATTGTGAATGTGACTGAGGCAGCCAACTGCGGTTAAAGTATCTATAAATAGCACGCCATCATGGTAATAAAAGTGATGATGTCACAATAAAGTTAAAAATAATTTAGATATATAAGGTCAATCAGCATGAAGAAAAGGCAACGGCTGTGGTGTTGTGGTTAGCATTCTAGACTGGCAATCTAGAGACCCGTGGTTCGAGTCCCAGCTGTGGCGTTCCGATTTTTTCTATATACAATGTACAACTTGTAAAAAAAAAAAAAAAAAAAAAAAAATCAATATATACATGTATAACTTGTAAAGAAAATAATAAAAGACTAAAGAGGGTACAGGTAGAAAAAGGAGACCTGAAACTACTCCCCATCACTAATAATAAAGTGTGAGAAACATTATTCTTGTGAAAATGAAAAAGTCGTTTAATTCGGTCATAGAAATGTAACGGGACGCTAAATTTAAGGCCGTTGGACGCGTCAGACAGGGAGTCGTTTAATTCAGTGACTTTATATAGTGATTTACGTTGGGCAGTCTAAAATAAGGTCGTATACGACAGGAAATCGTTTAAATCAGTGAGTCGCTATGGCAAGTTTGACTGTACAACTTGTAAAGAAAAAAAATAAATCAATATATACATGTATAACTTATAAAGAAAATAATAAAAGAGTAAAGAGGGTACAGGTAGAGAAGGATACCTGAAACTACTTCCCCATCACTATTTAACAAATAATATTCCATTTTAAGCTTACGCGAAAGCATAAACATTTACCACGATGGAAATAAAAACAGAGTATAAGGATACGGTTTTCTCTCACAGATTTCAGGACTGATGTAGAAAGGTGTTCCTATCCTAGTTGAAGCTAGATCATCACAACTGTTGAGAACCCGAGCTATACCAAAATCACCGAGCTTCACTACACCAATGTCTGTCAGGAAAATATTCTGTGGCTTCAAATCTTAAAAAAGACATTTTCAGGATTTATTATTGTACTTTTTTCTTTTAAGTCTAGAACAATACATTTTTAAATGTAAAATTTTCATTAGAGTATTTATCCTTTGATGTTTTACCTCTAAGAAAATCAATCTTTCTTAGCAACGTGTCTACTACTACTTTTTTGTAAGCATTTCATTTTTGTTATGCGGCTTAAGTTTACTTTTGATATTTGTCCTTTATAAATTTTACTAATACTGCTTGTTCTCTTATAGTTTACCCGTTTTACTTCTAAGGTGTAGTATAGTCTTACCATGGATGTACTCTTGTGGTATAACTTTACAATTTAAAGATGTGCTCTTGCAATATATAGTCTTACCATGGATGTTACGTCTAAATACCATGGATGTTTTCTTAGGGTATAGCCTTACCATGGATGTACTCTTGCCATATAGTCTTACCATGGATGTACTCGTTGTGGAATAGTCTTACCATGGACGCTCTCTATAATCTTATCATGGATGTACTGTTGCATTACAGTCTAACCATAGATGAACTCTTCAATATGAAGTCTTACCATGGATGTATAATTAGACTATAGGCTTACCATGGATGTACTCGTGCGGTACTCTTACCATGTACTCCATGGGCCTGAGCCACTTTTCCACAAAAGTGGAAAAATTAAAAAAAAACCCTGTAATAATGCCCTGTATTATTTACCCCTATGCAGTATATTTTGAATTTAGATTTACTTCAGAAGGATATTAATGCCCTGTAACATCAATTATTTACCTCTATGCAGTATATTTTTGCTATGGATATACTCTAAAGCCAGGATGACTTGTAGAAACCACTCTAGTATCTTGTCACTAGTAAACAATACACCGTTCTGTTTCTCAATCTTCTGCTGCAAATCTCCTACATAAAAAAACATACATATACTTTCTTATATCATGATTAAAAATAAAGTGAAACATATTGATAGTTTTGATATGAAAGGATTGAATACAGAAAAATTTGATAATACAAATCATGTGAATATTTTACGCTTGATTATTCATGATATCAATAGTGAATGCTCTATCTTTCATGTCAATATTTTATGACTTACTATTCATGTGATCTAAGTTTGTGTTCTATTATTCAATATAATATTTCATTAATAGTTTATGCTCTATTATTCATTTTTATAATTCATGCCTTATTATTCTTGTGAATGGATAATGTTCTATTATTCATGTTTATATTTATGCCCTACTATTCATGCTTATATTTCATGAATAGTTATGCTCTATTATTCATTTCAATAATTCTTGCCCTATTATTCTTGTGAATAGTTTATGCTTTATTATTCATGTCAATATTTCATGCCTATTATTCATGTTATGAATAGGTAATGCTCTATTATTGATGCGAAAAGTTCATGCTCAATTTTTCATAGAATATAATTGTTTGCAAAACTAGATACATTGATGATTAATATAAATTTATATTTTTTTTTCATATACGGAATCAATGCCATATGCTTTTAAGGACAATATCTACAGCATTAGGCCAGTCTTATTCATAAAAGAATATTTCCACAAACAGAAAAGAAATAGTTTGTTTCACGTATCTATCATGCTTCAGTATGCACCACTGTTCATTTTTTTTCACACTTGTCAGTATCTTTGAACTTTAACACAGACACTGACTATCACATTACCTCCCGATGCGTACTCCATGACGATATGCAGAGCCCCGTTACTGACGAAAGCTTCCAAATACCGTACGATATTCTCATGACAACATGCACTAAGAACTGCAACCTCCGTCACACAACGATCGAGGGCCTCGCTCGACAAACCTTTGATCTGTATGTAAATACATCAAAATATATACTCATATATTCATAGAACAGAGACGCTATCTCATTAAATATTTACCATTATTGTGTTTAATTAAGTCACGAGGCCTGTTTAATTAAGGCTTAACACAGCAAAATGTGTAAGTTAACAGACAAAATGACTGGCATGAATGGGAAGCGAAGTTAATTTAGATAAAAACTGAAAATGAAATGAAGTGTGTTTATTTGCTTTTATTTTTTTCGTCAAAGTTTATGCAGTGCAGATTTATTATGTATTGATTAATTTAATAATCACGCAATTTTAACACATCAATGAAAAATAAGATATTTTGAGAAGATTCAACCTATCTTTTCAAGGACACCAAAGTTTTTCTACTCTGGTGTGAGTAAAATGTCAAATTACACAATAACAATGAAGGATTTCTCTAGAAATGCTAGTTCCCCTAAGTAAGAAAATAATGCTTATTTTTCAAACAGGTAGAAAAATGTAAATAATATTAAATAGATCAATGTAACACAAAAAGTAACAACAGAAAAAGGTGTTTCAGATATTTGGCCAATTATAAACTTTTGGAAACAATAAAAGCACACCACAGCTTTTCACATCAAATCTGATATACATGTTCGCTATCAAAATATGACATTTCAGAAGCGCAGATAATCCTAAAATTCATTTTTTTCCGCAAAGTTATGCCCCTTTTTACTTCAATCTTTTTTCTTCTCCTATGGTCAATTTTTCAGAATCTGTCAATATTAATCACTTCAAACTTGGTATAATTTTGACATTTTTAAATTGGAGTGCATTTCTTAAAAGGGAAGGTAACTTTTATTTTTTTTTTCTCAGTTATGCTCCTATTTTGACATTGAATCTTTTAGTTAATAACTTTTTTGTTCACGTGTTTTTTCTGAAAAAGTATGAAAGATATTCACTTTAAACTTGGAGTAGTCTTGTTCATATATAAATGAAATTACCTGAATAACTTTTGAAACATACTTCTTCTGTGTCTTGGTGTCTTTTACAACCCAGGCTTTCCCAAATGAACCGGCTCCCAGTTCAAACAGAGGATTATACTTGTCACCCATTCTACAATATATCAAAGTCACACATGCTACAATATATCAAAGTCACCCATGCTACAATATATCAAATAAGAACTTTTTGATGCCTTCTGTTAGTTTTTTGCCTAAAGTTTTGTAAGTCATATTGAATCATAGGTGAACCTTTCAGCTATACTGGACTTGTTGAGTAAGATCTCAGGTGCTCCTCTACACATTATTTCAGATTGGTTTTGTAACATGTTTCAAGCAAATATACAACAAATATATAATAAATTTTCTTTGGGCTACCTGCTGTTTGATTACATACAAATGATTATGAAATTATCAATGTAAATATCATAAACAATCAGATTGAATTAATACTACAAAGTCTAGCCAATACACTTAATTAAATTGTCAAAAGTCACAATCAAGTAAAATATGTTTCAGACAATTATCTGACTCTCAGATGAAACTGCCCAGTAAGAAGAGCTGAAGTTAACATATTAAACTTTATATTGCAAGCAGCTAAACTGCATCACCTGCAGAGAGCTACCACATGTAATATCACACATCTAACTTTATTCATTTTGCAGGTCAATTATCAATTTACGGCCCTACTCTGCTGTGTATTAGTAAGTAAGTAAGTAGGTAAGTAGGTAAGTAGGTAAGGTAAGGTAAGGTAAGGTAAGGTAAGGTAAGGTAAGGTAAGGTAAAGTAAAGTAAAGTAAGTAAGTAAGTAAGTCAGTGAGTGAGTGAGTGAGTGAGTGAGTGAGTGAGTAAGTAAGTAACAACTTAATCTAATGAGGCTAACACATTCAGTTTCCCAATCTTCCATGCGGGCCTCAGTATATACAAAACAACATAAAATATAATCACAATCAACATTTAGACAACATAAATATGTACATTATAAACATCATATCAATACAATAAATAAGTAAACATTTTTTTTCTTCTTACATAGAGAAGTGACATTTTCATAACTTCAGCATGGAAAGTACAAACAAAGTGGATCAATGTTGAAGAATTATTCTAATAACAGTTTTTATTACACTTTTTATATTATACACTAAATTATTGTTTTTGGAAACAATATGTACAAACAATTAGTTAGAAAAATGCCATTGGATATAGGAGGCTTGAAATTTCCTCAGGGTATCAGAATTTCGAACATGTAATTAATTGATTTTCTAAAAAATTCTGTTTTTGGCTTAAGTACGTTGAAGTCATGTTTGTCATTTACTATAATATTAGGAATTTATTTTTCATATAAACAGGAAAGGATGGTTCATTTATAGGTTTATACATGAGGATTGCCTTTGTATTTAATCACTTATTGAAATACCTCATTCCAAACTCTAATTATTGACCCAAAAATGATTTTCTGTTTTTTAGTAACTGTGCCCTTGTCTCCTATGGGGCAATTCCAAGAGAGAGAGAGGTCCTCACATAAGCTGGTTACAGCTAGTACACTAAGTTTGCCTTATTATTTTCTTTAAAAAGTTAAAACTGACTGGATTGGGCTTATCACTAGAACAAAAAAATCATATGTTTGTTTCTTTCTAACTTTTTTGTTTATTAAGCATTATATGTGATACAAATCAAAATAAAATGATTTAGGTTGCCTTTTTTCCCTTAGAATTATTATCCATTTTCCAGGCACAAAATATTTGAAGTTAATGAAATTATGTTGTAATGCAAAATTCTTAAAAGAAATGATCCCAACAACTTCTTTTTGCTCAAGATTATTGCGCCAGTCTATATATATTATATTCGGATTTAATATTTCTGTTTCTGGCATTTACATTGTATACTTCAAATTGACAATTCTTAGACACTTAACATTAGGATTATTATTTTTATACTACGAAGTTTTCTCTGAAAACTGAATGAAATGTATGGTAGGCTGACAAATGTTGGGGCAATGAAATTTAGAACAAAGAAGTTATTTAACCTTATTTGTTTTATACATTGCATATATCTGTAACATTATTTTAAGGACTTCAAAATGAAAAACTGGTAATAATACAAAAGTGACAGCAACCTTATATTTTTCTTTTTGTTTAAGTCATATATTATGCTCAATAAACAAACGAAGATCAAAAGAAATATCTTTATTATTTTTCAAGAAATATGATTATTTTATGTTATTAGCCCAATTGTTAAACACGTCTGTAATTAAGCTGGGATGTACGTATCGTATGTTCCAGAATTAAGCCGTCTTAAAAATAAAACCAATATTGTTTATTAAGAAATAAATGAAATAATAACATCCGTAGCTTTAATGTTCTAATGTTTTGAAAACTTACTGGCCTTTAGTTTTGTTTTTACTCTGCCATCAACACAGCTTCAAATTGATAAATCTTCTAATGAAATGTCAAATTCTAGCGCCAAATCTCACAATTGAAGAGTACCAAGGTATGACAACTTCCGGTTTATTTCACAGTCTGGAAACTCCAGACGCTCAATGAAATGCAACTGAAAAGTTAATGAGCGTCTATGGACCGGGGAATTGAATGGATATTTATAATTTTTTAGTGAAAATTTTGCCGATTTAAACACGATGGCTGATGTATTTTGCTGCATAAGAAGATGCTTTGGAGACACGAATCCAGGTCACATTCGTTTACAAGAAATTCCTTCAGTCCAGTTGGACACAACAAACATGGGTAAGTGTGCTTTTTTTTTATAAAAACACATGACTTATGATGACATGTATGACTATGCATTGACTTGTACGGGGAAGTCAAAGACCGGGCCCGCGAAGCTTTGGCTTGCCCGGCTATAGACTTCACGTGTATATTTAAAAGAAAATGAAATAAAAAACAATTAAAAAATATATAGAATTCTATACCTATCAATGAAATTTTCAGTGTCAGTTCTAGTCGGGCGCCGCCATTTACAATGTAACGCAATGATAATAGGCGGGGTATTCCGATAACGGAACAAATCTCATCTTTTCGGATAAATGATAATCGTCGAGTGTTCCGAGTGAAAACGGAAGCGGTGCATATAATACCGAATGACACTTTTAAAACGGAAAGAATGAAAGGAATTTTTAACAACTTCCCCATTCATAGGCTTTGCCTAATTTCATATTAATGTAATGTAATAATGGCAGTTTTATGAAAGATATACTGTGACATCAGATGTTCATAGTTGGTGGCTCACTGACTTGCTGTATTTTGTATTTGAAGTAGCTGGCAGTATGTACCAATACGGCTAGTCCCTCATTCAGAGACTTCACATTTTCTTTTCTTAACAAGTTTACGTCTAATTATTTTGAACTACTGGCATGCCAGCTGGTCCTGTATTTTTTGTTAAACGCTTGAGTTTTACTTGCATTCTTTTAAAAATTGATATCAAATCACGCAGACATGTGAATGAGACAAAATTGACAATTAGAACAAAAAGTTTTCATTTAACCCTTATCATGCCAACACCGAGATATCCCGGATTTCATGTCCTTACCACAGCAGCCAACATCGAGATATCACGGATTTGTTAGTAATCCAATACACAACGGGGAATACACTAATCAGCAATGTCATACTGATAAGAAATAATTACCAGTGAATGCAGGAGAAAATATCTTAATTGTTTCGGTAATCTTGGGTCAAGTTAAACATAAATTATCTAGAATGGTGCAAATGTTTTCAGTTTTATTCATTTGTAAAAAGTTCAGAGAAATGGCAGAAGGGCAAAATAGACAAATGCATGTGCAAGATGTCTTAGAACAATTGTTTGATGATGAAAATATGTATAATACTAGTTCTAAGTCTAGTGACACTGATAATTACTTTGATCAGTCAGAAAATGAGCAGGAATATATTGGGGATTTATTACATAATTTGCTTAATAATTTCGGTACATTTTTATATTTCTTATGATATTTGTAAGCAATTTATAAACTAAAACTCAATGAAATAAAATAATTTTTATATTATTACGTAAACATTTTAATCTTCTTTCAAAAAATATATAGTTTTAAATATCAAATAATAATAATAAGGTAGAATGAGAGGTTTAAATCACCTAACGCCAATTAACCTTAACCCAGCTGCTGTTCACATAAATTAATTCGGCACTGCAGTAGTTAGCAGTGGTAGTTTACTTGGCATGATAAGGGTTAAAATCACTTTCACCTGTGTGTTGTTAAAACATGAACTTGTAAATGTTTGGGCACAGTGAGCATGCTCAAAAATATTTACATAATTATATTATATATATGAGGATGTAAAAAGGTGTTCAATAATATACCACCTCTTCACAGATAAGTGGGCAATATGTTAAATAAATGATCGAGTAAAATATCATGCATACAAGCACTTAATTGCGTGTTAATGCGTTGGGAAAACGATATTGGGTAATTCAGAATCAGAACCAGAGTTTAGTCCACTCTGTATGAATCCTGAATGATATATTTACCTTCTTCTGGAAAAATGGTTTCTCCAACGATTATATTTGAAAAATAGGACTGATATTACAACATTATAAGAATTATTATTGGTTATATTTTAAGTACAGGAACTTGTAACTTCTCTCCCTGTAAAACAATTGGTCATTTTTGAACCCCATATTAATCACTAAATGTTATTATAATTCATATAATTATGAAGACTATGTCCAAGACTTGTTTGACAAGCCAAATATTGATGTGGTGAGTGAGCGGAGCGTATTAAAACATAGTTTTTATGTAACTAAATAATGATTTTTTATACGGGAATGACTCGCATGCCGGTACTTTATGACAGCATGTAGGACAAGCATAATTATACAGTGTGTATCTATAGCTTAAGCTGCATGTAACTCATGTAACGATGTATTGCTGGATTTTTAGACTAGCAGTACAGACCCGTACATTGACGGCTCGCCACTTCCATTTGTATTCTGGTGGTTTGTTGTTGGGGATCTCTTTGTCTTAGCTTTCTTGTACATTTTGAATTCTGTTAATGTTATTATCTTAGCTTAAACAAATACATAATTCTGTATTTTAGGCTCTGAAGTAGTGATTGTCAAGAATGGACGTAGAATATGTGGTACAGGGGCTGCCTTCTCTAATGCACCTATAAACCAAGATAAAGCCTACTTTGAAGTAAAAGTACAGTCTTCAGGTAAGAACAATATTGTGATTCATTGTGTTTCTTTTTCCTACTGCCATATGATCTGTATCTCTATAAGTATGATAAATGAGTGTTTAAGTTTTTTGTGAATGAAGTACAGTTACGGTGATTTTTATCCAGTAATTTCTGAATGTGGCAAAATGTCATGATGCCAATCAATTAAAGTTAAGATTACTAAAGAAGATTTATATGTTTAGAATGAACAAAGACTAGACTAGTGTAATAAAGAAGTTTTAAGGGGAGTGGTGTCCTAGTGGTTTAGGTGTCTACCTCTCAACCCAGAGATCATGGGTTCGAATCCTCACTCGGGTCACGACCATGTTTCTTCATATGACACCAGTAGTGGTTGGTTCCAGAAAGCTGACTCGAAAGTGATTGATATAAGTTGCAAGAACTTGTTTCGCAATCAAGCTTAAATAAATATGTTTAAACCAATTAAGAAGTGTGGATTTTTAAATATTTTCAATTCTTTGTTTCACTATGTTTCAAAAGTGTACATGTAGTTGGGTTTTTATATCTACATGTAACTGTTATACATGTATTACAAATTTATCATCAAAAAGTTCAAAATAGTAACATTGAACTGGTATTTAAACCCTTATTCACACATGTTTTTGATACTGATAAGAAGTAAAGTTCATATATTTGTTACTTCTTACATTGTTTACATATTTTGTTCTGTTTTTAGGTGTATGGGGAGTGGGTTTAGCAACTAGAAAGTGTAGTGTAAATAAAGTACCCCTTGGTGACACTGAGGAATCCTGGGTATTGAGACATGATGGAAGATTATTTCACAAGAATGAAGAAAAAGAAAAATTACCAAACCTACCACAAGAGGGAGATGTTTTAGTAATATTTTATTTCTCTTTTCCCCTTAAATATAAGATTGAACAAGTATATATATTCAGAATAACCCATATGTAGCAAAAGCATAATATACAATTACAAAAGTCACAACAAAATATTTTTATACCCCTGCACAACAAAGTTGTGAGGGGGGTATACTGGGAGTTTGGCCATCCGGTCGTCCGTCAGTTTTTCCTTGTCCGCCCAATAACTTTAGTTGACCCACAGACTTCATATTTGGCATGGAGGTTAGTCATGATGAGTAGACGACCCCTGTTGATTTTGAGGTCACTGGGTCAAAGGTCAAGGTCACAGGGACCTTGACTGAAAAAAGCTTGTCCGCCCAATAACTTAAGATTCCTTTGACCCACAGTCTTCAAATATGGCATGGAGATTAGTCATGATGAGTAGATGACCCCTATTGATTTTGAGGTCACTGGGTCAAAGGTCAAGGTCACAGGGGCCGTGACTAAAAAAGCCTGAACACCATATAACTTAAGATTCCTTTGACCCACAGCCTTCATATTTTCTATGGAGGTTAGTCATGATGAGTAGATGACCTGTATTGATTTTGAGGTAACTGGGTCAAAGGTCAAGCAAGGTCAGACAGGCCTTGACTAAAAAAGCCTGTCCACTCAATAGCTTAATATTTCTTTGACCCACTGTCTTCATAAATGGCATAATGGTTAGTCATGATTATTAGATTACCCCTATTGATTTTGAGGTCAAAGGTCAAGGTCACTCAGGTCTTCACTAAAAAAAGCTTGTCTGCCCATTAACTTAAGAATCTTTTAACCCAGTCTTCATATTTGGTATTGAGGTTGTTTATGATTATTCTATGACCCCCTATTGAGTTTGGGGTCACTGGGTCAAAGGTGACAGGGAACTTGCCCTAAAAAAGCTTGTTGGCTCAATTGCTTAAGAATGCTTTGGTCACCAGTCTTCATATTTGGTATTGAGGTTGTTTATGACTAGTAGATGACCCCTAATGATTTTTAGGTGACTGTCAAAGGTCAAGGTCACAGGGGCTTTTAACTACAATAAGTTTTTCTGCTCAAATGCTTAAGGTCCTTAGTGTATTGATTTTGACATTTTGACATTTGAAGCATGTAAAACTTAGCAATACACTGGCTTACTAACCTCAGCTTTGGCAGGGCTATTAATGGCCACTGTTGATTCTGACAAAGTGGTATGCGGGGGTATTCACGCCAAGACAGTGGCAGTTCTAGTTCTTCTACATGTACAAACATACATGTCTTTTTACTGTATATTGTTATTAGTTACATTTCATTACTATTTTAAATTTAATTTAATTCATGACAGATGATACCCATATAATAATACTCATATAACTGAGGAGAAGCTTGTTTTTAGCTCAACTATTTAAAGAATAGGGAAAGCTATTGTACTCACCCAGGTAATTTGGTGTCAGTGTTGCCACTGCCTTGACACTTTTGTTAAGTTTTGCGTGCAAGTTAGTTTCTCCAATATTTTGGAAAGGAATAGGCTGAAACTTCACACACTTATTTTAGAGCATAATATGAGGTCACTATATGACCATAACTCTTACATGGATTTAGACAGATTTATTATCCAAGATCCTATTTTACTGTCAAGCACTGATAATAGTTGAGCATGCTGTCCTACATACATCTCTTGTTATCAAAGTTGTAAAATCACCATCAAAAGTTCTCCTCGAGTACTTAATATGTCATATTTTTTACGGACAATCATGTTTGTGATTTTGTTTGTTTTCATGAATACCATATCTTATAAGTTTTCAACTTTTGTATTTTTTTATGTGTTTATTTCAGGGGTTGACATATGATCATGTAGAATTGAACTTCCGGCTCAATGATAAGCCTGTAAATATACCTATGTTAGGTATTAAAGGAACTGTATACCCTGTGTTCTATGGTAAGTTATGACATCGTCATCATGTTTGCAATTATTTCGCCATTTACATGTACATGTACATTAAGACCTTTTCTGGTACTTTTTGGATCATTATTAGTAATAATTTCTTTTGACAGGTTATATGACCAATATAAATCTAAGTTGTGGTTTATATTATCTGATCCACTAGGTAAGGATTATATAGCATACACTCACTTATAAATGGCCATAATATAAATATTATGATTGGCCATGGAAAATAACATTACACATGTGCATGTTAAATATTTAATGCTGCCTCAGTCTGTGCAAGGGTTGCTTGGAAAATTTTGCATTTTTCATTATCTCTAAAGGCACGACATTGTGCTCATTTTTTCGTTGTCAATTTGAGTTGAATTAGTAATATAATATTATTTCAAAAGATTGGTTACTATAATGGTGATTGATCAATTATTGATCATGAAAAACGTGTAAAAAAATAAATTTATACATTTTTTGCTACAATGTGTTCATTGGAGGATCATATGATATGCAACAAGCTGACATCTGGAAAGTTAATGGTTCTTATCTGGTGCTTGGCCTTGCGTTTTGAATAATGGGCGAAGGTTCATCAGACATTTTACCCCTGCTGGTAAAACTCGAACATTGCCCTATTACTTTTAAGAAAGAGCTATTGTGACTTTAACCCAGGCTTAAAAAAGACTAAATAGATGTAAACAAAACAGGAAAAGTCATAATTTTTATTATGTTTGTTCTTTTTACAGTTGATGAAGGAGCCACACTTGATGTACAGTTTACAAATTTCTACCATGATCCACCAGATGGTTATGATAGTATTATGATCGAGCAGTCTCTGTTGTAGCATATAGTCTATGAATTTTAGTACTTGTATACCAATAAATTATCATATATGTAAATTATCGTATATGTAAATCAATGCTTTATGTAAATTTTATATATATGGAAAATATGTTTTTCTGGAATTTATGATATATGTATATGTTATGTATACATGAAATTTTTAATATATATGAATTATCATATACATGGAGGTATATTATCATATAAGAATTATCATAAAGGTAATTTATCAGATGCATGTATAAATTAACATATAGGTAAATCAGTATACATGTATATGTTAATTTTCTAAAATGTGAATTATCATCATGCCAGTTGTCATATATGTTAATGATCACAAAAATGAATAAGCATGTACATGTATGTGAATTTATCATAATTTATGTCATATATGTGAAATTATAATACATGGAAATTTCATTATATATAACTTATCATATATATAAATTTATCATAATGTAAGTTATCATACATGTTAATTATTATATATACATATATATAAATTATCATAAAAGCAAGTTATCATCTGAGAGCCATACAGCCGTAATACAGTGCTTTAACAGTGAACTTTGATTGGTGGATTTATGTGAACAATATATTAGGAAAGGGCTTGTTTAGATAAGTGCAATTGATAGGTCTAATATTTCAGATTTTTGAAGTATTTAAGAGTATAATTATGTATTATTATTATTAAGATTTTTTTTATGGAATTGGTTTTGAAAGTTCAAGGTTTTGGTATCATACATGTTTAATTCTAAATGCCTGTCCATGACATTTGTTTAGGCATTTGTGAAAATTTTTGTTGTCTGTGACAATTTGTCATTTATAAAAAGAAAATAGAAAAAGGATGGGCATTGCAATAAAATGCTATATGCTTAAATCAAGATGTTTTCATTCACATTTTGAGAAGCAATTCAGAAATCTGAAGTAACTCCAAATTTTTTTGGTTTGCATTAAAAATGAAAAAATATTTCAAAATATAAACAACCTCATCTTATCAAACTTGAATGAATTGTGTCATAAATCTAGGTTTAAAATATTCTACATAACTATTTCTCAACATTTACCTATTTTAAGATACTGTTGGTCAGGAATTTGACTTACTTCTTTAGATTTAATGAGAATATTTATAAAAAACAAATTATCGGGTGACAAATAACTCTTATTCTCATATACATATGAAACCCAGTGGTTAAAGCCATTGGCTATAAAACACATGTTTACTGCAATAAATAATTATGATTGAAATGTCCCCAATAGACGTTTATTTCTATCATGCAACCATAAGCAGGTGCCTGAAGAAATGAATGGGAGTCAGCCCAAGATTTTTTTTGTTCCAGAAATGAAGCAGGAAAATTGTCTTCATTGATAATGTAGGTGCATCTAACACTTTAGAATCAAAGTATAGAAGCAAAGTAAAACCAAAAAACCTAGTTTATTTGTATAATGATTGTTATAAGGTAGAATTGCTTAATTTGTGGTGTTACAATACTCTACAGGTCAGTAATTAACTAAAAATGTTAGTGATGGTTTCTTAATGACATTGTCTGTTTCCCAGGGTATGTATTTGGTACATACTACATTATAATATATAAAAAAGTATGTACGGAATATATACCTTGGGTAACAGACAATGACTTTATACAAGCTGATATGCTGTAAGTATGTCACCAGGTGTCCTGCACATTTGTGCAGTATGGCCTGGGTCTAAACAATCGGCCACTTTGTTTAAGTGTATTAATGTCTATCATTCAATATATTAAAATAGAGAAATACAGAAATCCTAAAGAAAGCCCAACACGACAAAATTGAAAATGTTGCAGGCTCGGTTTGATTGAGCCTGTTCATGGACGGTACTGGAAAGTGCAAGTTACAACCAAACCAGTTATCACTTTTTTTGAAAATTTTATAACATACTGATTGCATCAGCAAACATTGTAAACCATAATCACAAGGCACGCACATGCCACCTGATTTTGGTCTGCACTGGTTGCATTCATTTTGGTAGAAATTGTTGCTCCTATGAGACAAAAGGTAAACCACTCATAGAATTTGAAACTTGGCAAATCCAGTGTATGAAGTCAGAGTTAAATGTAGGAATCAAATTTTACTGGATAATACATACTGTGTATTAATGTATGTTTTACTTAGTGCAATGTTCCTGTGACTAGTTGTTTTTCTTGTGATTGCAACTAAATATGAATACATTTATATTTGACTTTAAAGTCTTATTTCACCCATCTTTTTCTATATATTGTTGCAACATTTAATGCAGTAGGAAATAGAAAAATAGTTAAAAAGGTGTTACCACAATGCCTAGACATTTATTTGTTTTCTTTATTTAAATTGTATCATATACTAATAATCTTTGTAGTGGAGAAGTTAAGGTTGACTAGTTGACTTTAAGCCTCTTTTCAATACCGCTGTGGCTTGGAATCCAACCTGATGTATACAAGGGTATCTTAGGTCTTCATTCACCAGTAAAGCAAGAAAGCCACCTTATGGCATTTAGTGTTTGTGTGATATAGAACCCAAGAGACAACATAATATTTGAGTTATAAATTCCTTTTGTATAAAAATATAAAAGTAAGCATGACTGATCATTATATGAAGGATTTTGGAAACTTAAGATGAATTTCAAAGGTCCCATGTGGCCAAAGAACTATTCTTTCGGCTTTTTACCATTCTAGAATTCATCAAATATTTATAAAAATAATACTCAATGCAAAAGTGCCATTAGTTTTAACTGCCAAGGAAAGTTAAGTTAATCAAAATAAAGAAGATTTAAGCTTGGGCTAAACTTCTCTAAGACTTCTTGCTATTTAAATTGTCTTTTTATACCTTATGAATTGTTAATGTCATGCTTTCAGATAGAAGGACTTTTTTTTCTTTTCTTTTTCTCACATTTTTTGCTTTATTTCATATTTTTATCATATTTTTATTGTAAATGTGTATATATAGATATCACAGTTATAACGTTTTTTAAAGAGACAATTATGATGTTTATAATGGAATTATAGATACTATGCATTTACCTCAATTGGTATTAGATTTCTAAGATTAGAAGTAACATTCCTCAAAAGAAAAAGCTTTTGGTTACAGTATATTCAATATTAAATTGGGTTTAAATTGTTGAATAAAAAATATGAACCTCAGAAAAGTTTCTCTTTATGCTGTTTACTAGATTATTGAACTTGTTCAATAAATTCTAAAGAAAATAACTGTTGAAATAATTTAATAAATTGAAACAGTAACTAGATTATGATGAAAATTATAATAACTGTGCTAATTTGAATTGCTTTAAAACTGGTCATAATCCTGTAATAAAATTACAGTTTAAAAACTTTAAAAGCAGCATGACTCCAGATTCATGCTAACATTTTGAAATTGTATTTAAAAGTAATTTACCAAAAAGACATTAAAATATGCTGAAGTAGCACTTACTGTGTTAGTGACTTAGTAGAAATATGGTGATAATACTGCAAAATCAGTCATTAATCATTAATCCCACAAAGCATATAAATATCACTTTTAATTTTGAAAATTTTTCTTTTCCCAAAATCTTTGTACTTTTTCTCAAGTTTGATTTTTTTGAACTATTTTGGCTTATCTGGAGGCATGCAGCTTTAAAGAGTTTTCACAAATACATGTAGGCAGAATGAAAACTGTTTCATAGGATTTATTTAAAGCTCCTTAAGTTTTAGAATATGATCAAGAAAATATTTTATCACATTCATTTTTATGTGAATTATCTGCCCTTGAATTAAGAAAAACAAGTGTATCTTTTTTGTGTGTTCTTTTTTTCTAAAAAGTGTTCTTTTATGATCCTGCAAAGTTGTTGAACAGTTTCATTTTGTATGTATGAAAACTATACAAAATTGTCCTTCATAATTTTTATGAACATTTTTCATTTATAGCATTGATTAGATTTTTCATTAAAGTTTTTGATTTTCTATAAACACAGTGTCAGGGTTTTGTGAGAATGTGAGGTAAACTTTATTTTGAATTGCATTATATGTGTTCATTATTTTTTTTATCATGCACAGATATATACATATTATACATGATTGTATGTATGTATATTTTTGTACATGTTATTTAGTATTTGTGTAACAGCTTTGTTGTGAATGAGGTGGAACTTTGGTTTTGTTATAAAATCTAGCGTCAGGAAAGGTTGATTACATTATAGCTATTTTATTTAATATTAGTTTCTAAAAGTAAATACATGTAAATTATTCCTGATAAAGTGCATTGACAATATTTAAAGGAACTCCAATGAGGTCAAACATAATTTGAAATTCTTACATAGATCATCTGAGCACTAAAAACTGAAAAGTATGAAAAATGAAAATAAAAATGAAAAAATATAGTCAAAATTAAACAAAAAATCAATATTTAGTGCCATTTTTAGCCTGTTTGAGTTTAAAGCATTTAATAGGTCATAATGTACAATAAGAATGATTATTATAGAAAAAAAACTTATGAGCAAATGATCTGAAAATTGCTCACAAGCTATTGCTATAGATCTATAGATCTAAATCAAATGGAATAAAAATCTAAAAAAATATTTTTAGTATGGTTATGTCCAAAAAACCTCAATTGAGTTCCTTTGAGGTTGAAAGTGAATTGTTTTCTGTGTTAAAAACGCCTTTTAGATATATCAAGGAATAGATATAATAAAATATTTTGGTTTTCATGCATATTACATGTATATTATTTAAAATCGTAGGATGAAATATTTTGTTTTTATTTATATCTGGAACATAATACAAGTCTATATACCTATATTATGTCCCAGTTTATATTGAGAATTTTATTATCCTTTTTTCTGTAAAGTTAAATGATTATATTGTTAGTTTTGTTCTAAAATGTTATTCATAGTCAGACAATTGCATTTCGTATAGTATATCAGACAATATTTTTCTCCACATACATGTATACCCAGTAAAGAATAATACATGTATACTAAAATAGATAGGCTTGATTTTTCATCATATGTAAAATTTGTAATGCTATTGTATCTCAATGCTGCTTTTTTACACAACAATTTGTATTTTCATAACCAAGGAGATTGTTTACAAGTGTTTAACTATGATTGTAATGATTCATAGAACAAAAAGTATAAGTTAATATTTGCACTAAAGTGAAATATTTCTACAGATAAAAAAGTCAAAGTTCCCTAGAAAACTGAGAATAGAGGCTAAGTAATAAAATGATTTCGTTGTTTTTTATTTTGGGTAATTATGTTAATTATGTTTTAATTTAAGTCAGGTTAAAAGACTGCTGTATATAGATAGACCTGTCATATTTTTGACATTTGACCTTAAAGCTCGACCTGCAGGGTCT